ATTGAAACTGTGCTGGTGTTTGTGAATCTTAATGGCTTCCTGGTATAGCCTGGTATAGTGGCTGGTGGGGTTGTCCAGTATCTCTGTGTTTTCAAATAGGATTTTGTGTCCAGTGTGCTTGAGAGCATGTTCAGCTACTGCAGATTTTTCTGGTTGCTGTAGTCTGCAGTGTCTTTCGTGTTCTTTTATCCTGGTATGGATGCTGCGTTTTGTGGTCCCGATGTATACTTGCCCGCAACTGCATGGTATGCGGTATAGTATGCGTATAGTATAGTATGGTATGCGGTATTGAAGGCTTTCATGGCTGGCATATGATGGCTGGTGTGGGTCTTCCGGGCTGTGTGGCCGCGTTTTGGAAGTTTTGTTTCCTAACGTTTCTCCAGCACTTGTGAATGGCATCTTTAGAGTGCAGGAGCACAGACAGGAGCAGTTCTCTCTGTGCCCAGGATGATGTGACCCTGTTGTGGGTATTTATAGAGATCAGCGAGGGTGCCTGAAGGGGTGTGTGGGGTGTGTGTGGGGGGTTTGGGTTAACGAGTGGCTGCTTGTTTTGGTGTCAGAATATGTGTGTATCTTCCTGGGGGTTAGGCAGGGTTTTTTCTATTGAGTTGTTAATGAGTGGCTGCTGAGGGTGATTAGCATGTTCATTGTGTGGATCCCCTCACCGCCGCAGGGGTATACCGCATACCATGCAGCTGCGGACAAGTATACATCGGGACCACAAAACGCAGCATCCATACCAGGATAAAAGAACACGAAAGACACTGCAGACTACAGCAACCAGAAAAATCTGCAGTAGCTGAACATGCTCTCAAGCACACTGGACACAAAATCCTATTTGAAAACACAGAGATACTGGACAACACCAACAGCCACTATACCAGGCTATACCGGGCTGCAGACTACAGCAACCAGAAAAATCTGCAGTAGCTGAACATGCTCTCAAGCACACTGGACACAAAATCCTATTTGAAAACACAGAGATACTGGACAACACCAACAGCCACTATACCAGGCTATACCGGGAAGCCATTGAGACGCACAAACACCAGCACAGTTTCAATAAAAAAGAGGAAAGTCTAAAAATCAACAAAACCGGGCTACCAATCCTGAAAAATACAGCCTGCAAAAGGTCAATGAACTCAGCTCAACCACCAGGATGCGCAAACAATTCACACAATGAACATGCTAATCACCCTCAGCAGCCACTCGTTAACAACTCAATAGAAAAAACCCTGCCTAACCCCCAGGAAGATACACACATATTCTGACACCAAAACAAGCAGCCACTCATTAACCCAAACCCCACACACACACCCCACACACCCCTTCAGGCACCCTCGCTGATCTCTATAAATATCCACAACAGGGTCACATCATCCTGGGCACAGAGAGAACTGCTCCTCTACTCATTAACCCAAACCCCACACACACACCCCACACACCCCTTCAGGCACCCTCGCTGATCTCTATAAATATCCACAACAGGGTCACATCATCCTGGGCACAGAGAGAACTGCTCCTCTCTGTGCTCCTGCCCTCTGAAGATGCGGGTCACAGATGCTGGCGGAACGTTAGGAAACAAAACTTCCAGAACATGGCCACAGAGCCCGGAAGACCCACACCAGCCATCAAGTGTCCTATACTTTCTTAGACATTATGAGGACAGCAGCAAAAATATTGCCTCACTGGCAACTACACTGAAAGTCAGTGCACTCCGAGCAGCTGCCGAGTGCAGCTGCTAACGAAGGAAACATCTAGCCTGATATAAATTGTGCCACAGTGAGGTTTCCACAGGCTAAAAAAAGTACTGGAGAACCACAATCCAAATGCATCTCTTTTAGAGTTTAAAAAGAAGAAACTAGACAACAGCCAAAGGTCTTGGAGTAGAACCAGCATCTAAGACAAAGTTCAGTATCAGGATAGCTTAGAGGCCAGCCTTTTGACAGATACTCCGTTATCTTGAGAATCCCTAAATCAAATGCCAGGCATCTTTGTCTATTACAGATGCTGGAAAGCATGACTTTTTTGTTTGTTTTTACATCCTTTTTTAATACTAACAGAGAATGTGAAAGATTTGGGGACACTTTGCTCTCAACCTCAAAGCATTAAAAAAAACAAAAGCCTGCTGGTCTTTTTAACTCTGTCCCTCGTGGGAATAAAATAAAGAATCTTTCCGAAAGAAAATGGCACATACATTCGTGCACCACCCACTCCTGAGCTGCTAAGATAACAGATGGCATTGGCAGAGCTTTGTTGGTCTCGAGCCCTCAATTATCCATTGAGTTGCTACCAGCAGATGGGCACCAAGGCACCCAAGCCAAGTGTAAGGGAAGGGGCCACCAGGATGGGAAGCATAAGCTGGAAATTTGCTGGCAAAGCAGGTTTGTATTTCCAGCTATTGAAGCAAATCAGCCTGAGAGCAAGGCTGAACTTCTTGGTGCTTCTGTTGATCAACCTCTGCCTCTCCTCACCTCTCTAACAAACAAAATTGTTAGAAAATCAGGGGATTGTGCTAATGTTCTCCCAAAGTATTCTGGCAATTTTTGACATACAAATCCATTATGCTATTTCTTTTTAGGGTTCTATGGAGAGTGAAAAAGGAGTAAAAAAGAGGAAGCCAAAGAAAATTAAGGGATGACATAAGAGTGGAAAAAAGGATACATGGCTAAAACTAGGTTATACCATTCACCGTACCTTTCTGCCTTTAAAAACCATACTTGTTGCCACCACATCTCTACTTCACTTCATACATTGCCTCTTGTTCTTTAACAGTTTTGAGAGTAAGCAGGATCTTGACATGATGGTTATTAAAAAAACAAACAAACTTCTTCGAGTATGATTGAGGTCAAGGACTTTAGGTGGATGGAACATGCAATGGGAATTGCAACCTATAACGATTACCATTAAATGCTTCCAGAATACAAATATGGCCAATTAAGTCTGCAGGATTTTTAAAGATCCAGGTACAAGTCCTTTAGCATTGGACTATACGCAAAGAAGCAACAGGGCACTATACTCTCCCCAAGCTACCCCATTTCTGTTACACATGCGATCAGCAAGCATATGATTCTGCAAGGCAACTGGTCCAAATTGCTCTGGAGCAACCTTCTCCAATCTGCTGCCATTCAGATGTACTGGACTACAATTCCCATTGCCCCAGCCAGCAAGGATTTGTAGTCCAGCACATCTGAAGGGCATTGAGTCACAGGAAGCTGGTTGACACTGTGCCATTGGGTGGATCTACAAATGTACTACACTACAATAAGATCTCGTTGTTCCTCATCAAACTAGAGGTTGCCCAGCTTTCTTGGTTCACGGCAGTCTTAGTGTCTCAGTAACTCTTTCATGGTGCCCTAGGCTAAAAGACTGCCCAAAACACAGCTTCACAAATGGAAGTTGCAATAATCTAAAATATCCTGCAGTACCCCTGTGAGTTTGTTACACTGTCCCAGGGTGCCATGGCACACAGTTTGGGAACTGCGGGCTTAAACAATTGAGATCTGGGAAACTTCAACCTATCTGAGAGCAGCGATGCTGAATGTCCCAAAAGTTTCTATAAAAGCTGAGCCTACTGCATTTTGGTAGAGAATGAACAGTCACTGCAGTTTCCAGACAACAAACAAAGAAGAATATTGGCATGTTTATCAATAATGAGAAAAGGAATAAGTTACAGGCAGATCACAACTAGTAAAAACATTGGTAATGTACTGTATTTAATGCCTAGTTCTCAAAAATACATAATTTCTTGGCATTTCATTACCCTTCCCCTCCAGGTTGCTAGCTTTATTCATTTCAACTTTTCCTATAATATATTAATGTCAACTCTTTTTGGGGCCTGTCATCTGTTAATTGTTTAAAAGCCATGCCATGAGGCCCTGTGCTATATTATAGGAAACTTTGCTTAAATGGAGTATCTACCCCAAATTTCTTTATTTTATCTGATTTCTACTACATCTCAAAATGCCTCCTTTATCTAACCCAGTGTTTCTCAACTTCAGCAACTTTAAGATGTGTGGACTTCAACTCCCGTGCTGGCTGGGGAATTCTGGGAGTTGAAATCCACACATCTTAAAGCTGCTGAGGTTATGAAACACTGATCTAACCGATATCACCAACACTGCCTTCACTCTTTTCACATATTTTGAAACCAAGGTATGGCTGGGAATCATTTTGTCTAATGACCATTCACAGCAATCACAAACAACTCTGCAGCTGCTTTGTTCCTACTGTAAATATAACTGTGTATTGGAGTAAGATAATGATAGTTCATATTAAGTCAGGGGCACCTTTCTGAGAGCATATGGTAGGCACTTTCACAAAATGGCAACTGTAGGCTGCCTGTTCTCTTGTTGCTTAGTGGGCATGCCTGGTTGGTAAAAACCTATTGATCAAAAGGCAAATTAATCTCCAGGATGTTCTCCAGATCTCAGGGAAATCTTTGTGGAACCCAAAGGCATTCTGGCAAATAAATATAATTCTATAAGTTAACGTTTGCTTTGTTCCATGATCGTTTCTTACAGATTTTTCACTCAAAGAATTGTTTTAAAAACACCAGGAGGACAGGGAGCTTGGTGCCTAAGGATACATTGGTGCTTGTATGCTCCATCTTGTTTCATCTCTGCCCTAGGTATATAATAACTTACAATTTGAATGTACCTCATAGTTTTCTTTCAGTTCATTTTCCTTCCACTGCATTGTTTGCATAGCCTGTTCAAGTTGACTCAATTTCTCTGTACAGTCCTTGGCATTTTTTTCCAACTGCTGTTTTGTTGTGAGAATGTAAAAGATGGAAAGCTTTAATTTGTAGTCATAAAAAACAGTAAATAGTATAGAAATATTCTTGCTAAAAATAAGATCATAGAAAAAGTCAACTTTTTCTTAAAATGATGTTGGAAAAGTCCAGCTTTCTAGAAACATAAATCTTTCCCATCAAGTGTTTGTCTTGCCCAAGGTATTGTAATTATACCTGAATTACATCTCAAGATATAAATGGTAGAGAAACTGTAGGGTCTGTTGTAATTTTCTCCAGCCCTAATGTCAACTAGATGCATGGAATGAGAATTTTGGGATTGTAATTCACACATCTGGAGGCCCAGGTTGGGTGTCCACTACAGGTTCAAAATATAGAAATCATGGAACAAGCAGGGTCACATAACAGAAGCTATTTCTGTCTTGAATGACTGATAATTCTAAATTCGTCAGAAATTAATCTGTAGCTATATTTTAAACTAAAATATTGAAGTTACAGATATGTTCCCATATATACTTTGCACTTTGTCCCAAATGTTCCAAGATCTTATATGCACTGTGCATAAAACCTAATACTTCTTTTTCTTTTAATCATTTGAACAAGGTATCAAAATATTTCAACGCTGACCAGTAAGGAAAAATTGCAAAACAATTCCAGTACTAGAGGAAAGAAGATGAAAAATAATCCTTCTACCCAAGAATATTTTTTATTAGCTTAAGGCAGTATATAATGACAAACTTGGGCTAAACCATCCATCTTGTCCCTGATACAATTTCTGGAACTGAGTAAATTTTCCTGGTGGCTGCTGCTAATGCTACAGACCATTTGCAAACACCAACATCAATGTTTTGTATGATATCTATCTGGTAACTTTTCTAAATGTGGTAGGCAGAAGCTGCCATAGAACTGAACATACTTAAAATTGCTAGTTATCCTGTTACACTACCTGGACCAAGACTCAAGATCCATGTACATGTTGGCTCTCAAACCATATTCTTGGCTGAGACAATTCTTTCTACTCATGTAAATGTGAACACTAGAACTAAATATTTTCTCTTATAAAGAAACATGAGATCCTAAATCCAGAAACTCTGCAAAGATTAGACTTCACAAATATTTCCCAAGTTCAGTTCTGTTAGCTATTAAAATGTTTTTTTTTTTTTCAATTGGAAATGCATAAGTTTCCTTCAATGTTTTCTCTATGAAAGCTGCAACCGCCCTATCTAGTGGTTTTTATTCTTCTATCCCCAGATACTTTGTAGAGCTAACTCCCACTGTCAGCGGTCAGCATGGGCAATAGTCAATGATGATAAGAATTACAGACAATATAATCTGAAGCCCCAATGAAGGAATATATCTGTAGATATTCAGCCAGGATTACGAACCCTTGAATTTATGGGGCACATTAAGTAGGCATGTCCAGCCTTCTAATTCATGCTGCTAATGAATAGGTATAAGCAGATGAGTGCCTAGCAGAGACACAATAAGAGTACACTGCAAAGCGTGATCTGCATTGCAGCATGCTACTTGCCTCTTTGCTATGCCTGTAAAAACGTCCACCTTTCCTGTGTAGGTTCAGCTACAATGCAGCACCTCACCTCTTGGTGTTCTTTGTCTTTGTCTTTAATCTTCTGTTGTAAAGCACACTGCACACTTTCAAAATTTTGCTTCTGACAGTTTAGCTCATTTGAGAGTTTTCTGAACTTTTCCTCTTTTACTGCAAGCTGCAAAGAGAGAATGTAAAGGTAACATGGATGGGAAATGTTTCTGGTACTCATCTGATAGTTGAGAAGAAATTGCCAGAGTGATGAGATGGCTAAGGCATAGAACTAGGACCACAGAGCCTCTGAATGTAATCTGCCATGGAAGCTCACTGGATGACTTTGACCAATCATCAGATCTCAGAGCACTGTTGCTGTGGGGCAAAATTGTAGGTAGAAATGCTACATAGTATGCTTTGAACTCCAGAAACAAAGGCAGAAGACCTACAGTTAATGAGATCAAAAGTGAATATATATTTATGGCTAGAGACGGAAAGCAAGAAGACCAATGCAATGAAAACTGAAATTTACATTTCCTGTCACTGTAAAAGAACACCGTGAGAAACAGTTGAGATTTGCAAGTACAGTATTATTCAAAACAGCAATCTTCAGTCATTAAGTGTATTCAGTCCAAAAGATGATCCTCTTCCCTCCCCAAGTGGTTAGGGTTAGGGCACCAAGAGGAAGAGATTGTGGAGGAAAAGTCTTTCGCTGTCCTTCACTGAGGAAAAAATGCAGTGGTTGAAGAGCTTTTGTTAGCAATGGCAGCAAAACAGCTGTTGTAACGAGAGTTGTCTAAAATGTTCCACCATGGAACTCTGCAACCCTGGAACAGGCCCTTCTGCTTGTTCCAGAAGTGTTCAGACCACAATCTACTTTCAAAGCACTCAGAACAGGCTTGTTTCAATGTTGAACAAGTTCCAAAAACACTCAGAAGAGATTGTTTTGGGATCAGAACTTTCCATGGCAAAGTACTTTGCACTGTTGTAGTTTTAACCCTCCTGTTGGGGAAAGCAGCAGAAACTAACTCGTTTCCACTGACACTGACAGCAAACATGGAGTTGGCTTGGCCTCCAATAGAGTTTTTAATATCCACTGATTGGCTGAAGACCTGTGTGCATTTGGAGAGGTTGTGCATGTATGTGTGCATTTTTGTCATTATGGCTGCAGGGGAGGAGATTGTGATTGTATGTTGATAGTGAGAAAGGTTGCATGTAGTAGAGGTAATATGTTATACATGCTGGGGTGTGCGTGCGCAAAACCCTCTTTGGGTTCTTTGAGTCCTGTGTCTCCAAGATGTTGCTTACTTTATACAAGCTGGATCAAATCCATTTTCATAAAATGACTTTTCTATGATATTTAGCTCAGTTGTAAATTCATGGGTACAGTTTATGCAAATCCTCTCTAACAGATCCAGGTTATGCAGACAAATAATCACCATGTTATATTAAACCCAGTTAGTATTGGGCTTGCATGTTCTTTGAATTTTAAAAGGTTTCAAGTAAGATTTTAAAGAGCACATTACCTGATCAGTTGTTTGTTCCAGTTGTATTGTAATTTTAGTTATTTCATTTCTAGCCTTGTTCAGAGTTTTCTCTTTTTCAGTGAATTCCATTTTTATATTTTCCACTTGCAGCTGAGTATCCTGAAGCTTCATTAGGTTGCCTTTCATATCTTGGGTCTGAATTTGTAACTTATTTTCCAGTTCCTGAATTCTGGATCTTAACTCTATATATAAAGAATTATACTTTTAAAAAAATATCAGTACAGTGTACTTTGATATATATTGGACTTCCTTACAGGCAGGATGAATCTATCTATATTATTCCTGAGCACAACCTAAGACTCTCAGAATCCAGAAGACCTCAGAATGTCCTTACCAAATTATGCCATAATTTGACCACAGTGCATCAAAGATGGAAAATCACTAAATCCATGACTGGAAAGGGATCCTATTGACTATATGTAGTTTTAATTAAATGAAAATGAAAACAAATTTAGTTTTTGTCCTAGCCTGGGCCACTAGTTAGTGCCATGTTCTCCCAAATGTACCATTCCAAAGCCAAGTATAGTCTCAGCTGAGACAGCCTGGCCTTCATAAGTCCATTCCATCACAGATCCTCAGTATAACTTATAGCATTTTCTTCTAATGTTCTGATCTTGTGGCAGCAAATTAGGTGTGAATGATCAATTTCAGCTACATTTTCTCCTTCCATCACGCCTGGGAGCAGCAACTGATGATGTTAGGACTTCATTACAGTGGCATGGCTGACATTTTTGGACCCATTTCTTTTGGGAGCTGGGAAATTAACGGCACAGGTTTAAGGTTCCCGCTTTGCCCCTTAGCACCACTCAAAATGGGGAATATGGCTTGATTTTTGGAGGAGGTGATTTTGAAAGAGGGTATTATAGGTCTAGGTAGCCCCTACAGTTCTTAAGGTTTATTTTCTACCACTTTAAATGCCTCATATCCTCCCCTCAAAAAGTGTGATATTTTGAGTCCTGCCTACTCTATGGAGCTCAAGGAGTTACAGTCTGCTGGGTACCCTCTTCTGTTTTCTGAATGGGCAAAAAGGATAATTGGTTGGATAATATTATTGTGGTATTGCAGAAAAATGACTGCATTCCCAAATGTAGTTATTATATTACCCAAAAATAAGTTACTTATAATATTTTTAAGATACCTTGGTTCTGTGTTTTCAGTTGATCAGTGATTGAAGAGTCCTGGCCGCTCTTGGAGACACTGCAACTGATTAATTCTTTCTTGGCTAATTTTATAATATTGTGACTAGGAGCTGCTGAAGATTCCCAAGGAAATTGTGACTTGGTTGACCCATTGCTATGAGGAGTTTCTCGATGGCTGGACAAAGGGCGGCTTGGAGTTTGCTCATGTTGCCATGAGAATACAGATGAGGAAGCTTGGTGCCGGGCAATTTCTCTGCGACTTATATTACCTTCTGAATGCAAGGGATTAATTTTCTTCTAAAATTAAGAGAGAAAGTGGCCTTAATAAAGATGCTTCAGTGAAAGCTAATGAAACAACTGTGGACTTGATTTCAGTTTTTCACATGTGAGCAACTTGAAGACACAGACAGTCCTCCACCATCCTATTCTATCCCCCAGAGTGAGCAAAGCAACATCTTCACCCAGGCTTTGGGGAAGAGAAACTGGAGGAGTTAAGATGCAAAAGAGATGTTTTGAGTCTTGCAGCATGTAAAAAAAATCCTCAACCTTCCTTCACAAATTGAATTGATTTTCTACTTGGGTGCATGTGTGTTAAGGATAAAATTGATACTTGCATCGATTTGGCCCATTAAATTCTTCTCAATTCCACCTAGCACTTGAGTGATATCATTACATCACCAATGTCACAGTTTCTTGGCTGCAAAAAACCTGGCCACCTCTGCTCTCCTCATTTAGAATTTATCAATTCAAGACTATGTGATTACATACTACAAAACAGTGTAGCTAAGTGCTGCCTCCTATGATTGATCACAAACACTACATTACTACAAACAAGCACATATTACTATTCAATTAAATCTTAAATCTTCACTTTAAAATTATTAATCATACGATTCCTTTCCTATTCCAAATCAGTTAGTATGTATGTATTCCATCCAGTGTTTTAAACTCTTACTTGAGACTTCAGGCTCTTTGGTTCTGCTTCCAGGTGTTTTCTTTCTTCAATTTCTTTGCAGGGTTTTCTTTGAAGTTCTTCGATTTTTGAATCTATTAATGTTGAACAGAAATGTCATGAGAAACCTTTTACAATAAAAAGGATGAAGATTCTGAAATGAGATACTTTTCAGTAAAGAAAGAATTCTATTCATAAGATCCCCAGGGGAAAAATATACATATATATCTTATACCATTGTAGATTGGTGTTGGAGAACCAGTGTTGCTTCTCTGTGGTGTGTTATCAAAAGATGCATCTCCACTGCCAAAGGTCTTTGGTTGTCTTTCCAGTTCAGATTTGTATCTATTTTTTTAATGAAACGGATAGAAATTTAGGGTAGCAACAAAACATTTAAGACTGAATTTCAGCTGACTGAATGTAAGGAGATACGTTAGTGAATGACTTGTACCAGTGAATTCAGTGTGAATTAATTTCCACTTAAAATATTGAGCATATGTTTACACAGAAATCATTCCTATTGCTTCAAGGGAAGAATATGGCTACGTTTGTACAGAATATAAACAACGTAACCTTTTGATCAGAAACTATTTAAAACCTAGGAAATTGTAAGATAGTAATCTCGACAGGAGCAATTAAAGAGTCAATATTATTTTACCTCAAATATAGAATATTACAGGCTTGCAATTTAATACTGCCTTCCTTCACTGCATTATAATATGGATCCAGACCCACTTTATCCTATTCTGCTGAAACAAACAGTAAAAAAGCAAGATATACCAATTACTAAACTTCTTTTCTATTAATATGCTCAGTGTGGGATGCTAGGCCCCAATTTTTCAGTGCCAATTTTAGACAGTCTGGATGCTATAATTTCCCAGGGAAAATGTTCCTATTTATAGAAATAAAACAAAGCCAAAAAGAGTATTGTTTTATATAATTCATTAGTAACTAAAAAACATCAGAAGAGCTTTGCTACATCAAAACAAAGGCCTATCTAATCAGTATTCCATTCAAGGTGGTAAACTGCATGCTTATGAAATGCCCACAAGTTGGACATAACACCCTCCAGCTTTGGTTTTCCCAAAAATGATCTGGAGAGGCACATTATCACTGTTACTGGAAGGAAAACACAGCCAACATAATCAGGATCCACTAATAGCTTTGTCCTCCATCAATTTATCCAACCACTTCTTAAAGCAGTGGAAATTGGTGGCCATCATTCCAACTTATCATAGCGATTTGAATAGATTAATGATGGGCTCAGTGTCTCCTTTTATTTGTCTTGATTCATTGTATAAGCAGAGATTTTATTATCAGAAAAGCAGAAGTCTCTCTCCACTTTCTTCTTACTATGTATAATTTTAAACACTGCTATAATGTTCCTTCTTTCATGTAGATTCTAACTTAAAAGTTTTTTCAACTTTTTGTGATGCATGAGTAGCTTTGCCCTTCTAAATGGATACAATTCCAGTCAAACCGGGTGGTTTCAAAGGAATAAGATTGGATTTGGAACTTTACTTCTCGCTACTGCTAAACACACAGTTGGCAAGGGCTTTGGTGCTGACCAGCCAGCACAACTGTGCAACCCACTTCTATCCAACTCCCTTGTTTAAAAGAAAGATATTCACCTTTTAAGGTCTTGCTCTAGCCTTTCAACCTGTTTCTTGCTTGAAATAAGCTGTCCTTCTTGAAAGTTAATTTGTGATTCTTTCCCTTGAAGTTCATGAAAAAGTTTCTGCCTGTTTTTTTCTAGGTTATCACAGAGTTCCATCAAGCTCTGGTTTTCTCTCTTCAAGGTCGCTCCTTCATTTTTTCCCTCTTCAACCTTAATAAAAGAATGCACCAATAAAGAATCCATGAATGTATAACCACATAGTCTGACTTTAAGGTGCCATTTTATAGGGCTGCCAAATCTGAGCTGCAAAAATGTAGCTGATTGGAAACCTGGAGTTGCCTACCTCTCTTTGTAGCCAACTAGTAGCTGTCCAGTTTTTTGCAACCCAGTTCTGGTAGCCTTATATTTTATGAAAATTGTATTGCCCCATACTAGTGAGAAGCTTCTGATTTTCTCTAAACCTATCCTCTGCCAGTTTGGCTAACGCTGCAACAGAGTCTGAAAATATAATATAGTCATAACAATCTACTGTGAGGTCAATACCCAAATGGTCTACAGGCTATTTTTAATTGAGGTTTTAAATTAAACTCTGGTAGATTTCTCAAACAGAAAAAATATATACAGTCACAATAAATTTCACTACCCAACTAAGGCCAGTTCCTTCGATAGCAGAGGGTTGGGTTACTCAGTTTCATTTTCTCTTAGATTTGGGCTTAGAGATTGTGTGAAAGGAGACAGAAGAATATGGTCAACATTTGCCCTCACATTCTTCTACTCAAATATACCTTGAACTGAGGCCTGTGTGTGTCACACTATAAAGCTGTAAGCTTCAGTTCTTATAATATGTGATTCATATGGTTACAGAGAGTATACAGTTATCTAATTTCCTATTTCATGGCATAGTTAACCAATGCTGGGGACAAAAACAGCCTGTTGCAGTCACCAAGAGCTAACCCGGCATTAAACAGAGCTCCATTTCTCTTTCTGCCAAATTAAAATAAGAAAAAAAAGAAATGTTGACCTAACAGTTTAGAAAAATAGAGACCTTCCTTCACATCCCTCCAGCTACCAAGCTACCTTTCCCATTACATTAGACCTCTGTAATTTTCCCCACTAAGAGAAATCAGCTTGGGGAGGATCAGTAGGATGAAAAGTGAACAATACTGAAAGGAAATCAAAGCAGTTCTATGGCCCTCCCATAATCTCTGAGTCTAACTCTGAGTCTTCTTAGGCATTTTGGTTTAAAAAAAAAATGGATGAAAGATACAAAACTATGTTATGCTCATTTCAGCCCTAGATATTTAGGCACAATCCCAAGGCTCCATACACCTTTTGCTCTGGCCTTTAAGCTTTCCAAACAGCCAAACTGTGATTTTTAATAAATGATAATTCATTTCCTTTACTATATTCATATAAATTGAACAAATAAAGTTTTCATCCTGGCCCCACCCATATGACTTATGAGCCAAGTGTTGCCTTTGCTCCAATTTAAACAGTGCATGTTCATCTGCAGACACCAAGTTTAACTGGAGCTACACAAAACACGATCATGAGGCTCACATTTCTTATATAGGGCTTCCTTTTAACAGGAGGTATCTTTTCCAGATAGAAATATTAGAATACATGGTTCCATGTATAAGGAATTTGGAACTATGTTCTCTTGTTTTCTTGCATTAAGACACCAACAGTTTGTGGCTTGTAAATACTCAATTAAATTTTACCCTTTTATTTAACCTCCAAGAATAATGTGTAGCATTCTGGGTAGTTCTGGTCACCAAGCTTTTCCTTTCTCAGATAACAGCTAGTCATAAAATAAAGAGCTACTAAAAGCAACAACAACCTGCCTGCTTTTAGTATATAAGCTTTTAATCAAAACAATACAGGAGTTATGAAAAATGTGATAATGGTATTTTTTTTTAAAAGGGATTTCACTTAAACTTGTGCTATATAGTAGTTATGCTACCTTCTGCTTCTGTTTTTCCAAAGCTGCCTCCAGAGATTCCAGTTGAAATTGCCTTTGCTGACGTTCCTTTTTAAATTTCTCAACTTGACTTTCAAGTTCTTGAATCTTCTGAAGGACTCTGGTAGAAAGACCCTCTTTCCACTCTTCCCCAGCCCAGCTCATGTCATCAGATTTCACTCTCCTAATACATAAAAGACATCATAAAATGGAGAAAGAAATTATTTTTCAACGTCTAAAATTATACTTATGTGGATAGATGTTTATAAATAAAGGATAGATGCTGTGTTTCAAGCCACACAGGAATTCATGCTTACATAATGATTAGTCTCACTGAACTGAATGGGATGTAGTTTTAAGTAAGATACATATACATAACCCATTCTTGATCTTTAGTTACCTATTGACTGAGATTTGCATGATGTATGAGACCAGATAGGAAGGGAACTCAGGATCACATAACAGGCAGGATCACTGGAGTGTTATCAGCACACAGACAATTCCAGTTGGCTTTGTTCCAGTTTTTCCTTTGCTAGAAGTAACGAAGCAAGCATTCTGATTGTTGTCCAATTTCCTTTTCCAGCTTTATGGGTCAGTTCTTTACATTTTTGCAGCTATTTTGCATTAGTTTAAGGAAACAGTTTTCTTTTGGGGCAATAATATTCCTAAGTTTTGCTAGCTGCTTCCCTGAACCATTTCAACTTTGATTCTGCTCTGCCTGCATATTTATAAATGCTAATATTATAAAACCTCCAGTGACCTCCTTCTAAGAAAATCTAACTTGGGGAAGCATTGCACTTCTAGAATTCCCCAGCACCTTTAGAAGTAGTCTACTTATAGCAATAAAATGCAAAACATGCCTAAGACGACCTGAGCAGAGAAGTTCAGCTCCACCTTGCAAATTCATGGAGCTGTACTTCTCTGCTCAGGTCGTCTTAGGCGTGTTTCCACAGCACAATGCAATAATAGAATGACTGTAAGCTTCTTGCCCAGTTTGTAATCCAATTTTATTCAGATCCAGTTTTGTCAACTGTGGATCTTATAAACCAATAATATGCGAGAAGTAGCAATACATCTATTCAGGAGTCAAGTTGTATATGGGGAAACATCATAGTAGTGCTCCAAATAACGGGAGCACATTAGTTTTCTTGCCATTCTAACTATATGTAGAATAGATTTATTGCTCCTAAAATCCTTCACTAACTTCCCGTAGGTTCCTGGATTCTCTACACATTTCTAGCCCCTACAGTCAAATCCATCAACAGCCTTGTCTACCCTCTTCTAATAAATGTGCCTTACCTACTCCTCCACACCAGGTTCTACTGTTATTTCCTGTGACTTATAGAAGTATCTGTGTTAGGGACCTTCAACCAGGGTGATGCTATTTCTCTGCTTCTTTGGCCTGTGCCTCCCACCAAATTAACTTTGGATTTTGTATTGTCGGAAAATACATCTTTGGGTGAAGAAAGTAAATTTCTAGAGGCTTCAGATGAATTGGAGCGACTTAATAAAATTGAAACATAAAAGAATGTGCAGCACCCTTGGAGCTGGTGGGAACCACTAAGGCATCTGCCTTGAAGGAGAATGTGTTCTTTCTGGCATTTGGCACCTTGAACTGATTTGTTTCTTCTTTTCAGTAAGGCTACTATTTTTCTTGTAGATAGTGGATAAACAGAGGGGCAAAAAGTAACTTGAGATCTATTACTTATGTATGCCTGCATCATCAGATGAATATGTATGTATGCATCCTTTTCCCTCCCCTTTCCTGAAATGTATAAATATCAGAGCATCTCTTTTGTCTGCAGGGGGTGTCTGTCACTATCCCTTGGTGGGGTCCCCCTCCAGTACGCACTGTCTAATAAACACTGCAGTGAAGCCTTGATTATTTCGCATTTGGGTTCTGTGTTTTGATTCCACAGTATCATAACATCCGTCTTAACATCCCCAAATGTCTCCCAGCTTTTAGGGTTATTGTAGAAGCCTGACAGCTATCTGCACATCTCCATGACCGTCAAACTATCATGGTGTAAAGGAATTTAGGGGAAGGAAAGAGTGAGCCCTTAGGTGGGGCCTTGGAGAAAAGACAACTGAGTCCTGAGGAAGTGGAAAATATGAAAAAGAAACTCAAAATAACCCTGGCTTTTTTTTAGTATAAGATGGGACAGAGAAAAATTTGGCCAGGCTTTTAAGTTCTGTTATTCCACATTATCACAATACTGTAAAAAGAATTCCTGGAATCCCCACCCTGCCTGTTTTTTGAACCAGCCTACCTCAAATGGCTGACACACATATACAGTATTCTATCCCCTTTATTCATTTTCAGTTCCTTACCCCACCAATATTCACACACACCACTCTTCTCTTGAAAGTCCAGAAAAAACAGCAATTCTAACTTAAATACACATTTATATGAGAAATATGATTATGTCAATATGATCTGGTAGAAGCCAAATATTTTAAAACTCAGGGGGTGTCAATGGAAAAACACACTACTCTATGCACTACTCGGAAGCAAATCTCCTAACCGAGTGGGTTGCTTAGCAATTAAAACGCACTACTCTATGCAATACTCGGAAGCAAGTCTCCTGAACCGAGTGGGACTTATTCTCGAGTACAAAGGCAAAATTTGCAACACCAGAGTCTTCTGAACAGCGATTTCTTTTTTATTTTCTTTCTATCCATACAAACACGCGATGCAACTAAACCTCCACGCTATACACTGAGTTCATTCCTCACCTTTCCCAAGAAGATTCCAGCAACGCTCCAAACTCCTCTCCAAATTCAATCCAAGCGCCGCTCTAAATTCAAACTTGCCACTTTCTCCCTCGAGTAGTCGGGAAGCCAGAGCCATCCGAAAACCCATTGGTCAGCAGTTGAAAATAATCTTGCCTTGCGTTCTTCGGTTGAACCAATAGGAATCCACCGAGCGTTGCTGCCAGGATGGATTGTTTTTCAAATCTCATTGGCTACGAATTCGAAGCCATGAGAGGTGATTGGCTAAAGGCAAAACAGTGCTGGGAGCGCGTGTCATAGTCTTGCAACCTTTTCTCAAGAATAAGATTTTTACTGTACGTTCCTTTGAAGACGGAAGGGGATGTTACGCCCGGTCATACTCCAACTGAGTTCTGTTTGGCTGACTTTTGAGCAAGAAATGTCTTGCATAGCACTGTGACAAAATTACTATCCTGTAGTATCGGAACCTGTTTTTTAGGACCTCTAGCTCCTATTATTATTATTATTGTTGTTGTTGTTGTTATCATCATCATCAAAAAATTATCGGGAATGAAGGGGGAGGGGGAGGCAGAAGCCAAGCATATTTGAAGAACCCAAGTTACCTTTTCTGCATTATGGCATCAGGCACAATACTCAACAGCTTGAGGGAAATAAAAGTTTTGCACCAATGTATTTATTGTGCAGCAGAAATGGGGGAATCCAGCCTTGTGCAATCCACAAAAATAAATAAGAGCTACCTTATCTGGACTGCCAAAATCTAACTGACCACTAGATAATAGAAAATACAGAAAATTCTAACTCACTGCTCTCATCTAATGGTCGTCTGGGTTTCTGCAACCTAAATATGGTACCTGGAAGTACATAAATGGGTTCATCTTGGAGAGAGTCTATCTGTATGGTTCATCCTGAGAAGGTCTGTGTAGTCCCTAAGATTCAACAACAACTTGTTGGCATATAATCAGTTAAGAATCGGCACTTGCTGTTGTGGGGAAAAAAAGCCTTGCACCACAGTTAGATATAAATGCATACTGAATAAAAGTATTACTGCTGCTAAAAGAAGCCAGGCAGTCTTGAACAGGATAGTAACTGCTTCTGCTAGGAGTGGTTGACTTCTTATACTTGTCATTTCTCCCTGGGCAGCTCACTGAGACCAGTGCTTCTGGAAGGAGAGAGGAGGTGCCAAAAAGTAGTGGAAAATGAAGGACTCAGAAAGACCAGCCAAGTTGTCAGAAAGCTTTATTTATTTCATTTATATATTTAATTTCCTTTAAGGAACCCAAGAAGGCAACATTGTTCTTCATTCACCACCAATCTGATTTCTCCCTCACAATTACCCTGTGAGGTCAGTCAGGCCGCCAAGGAGATTTCTGCACTACAGAGGGGTTAGGGATCTCCAAGCTTCCTTTTCATTCTCTATGAAATGGTGATACCCAGAAAATTAAGGAGGAATGTGAATACTGATTCACATGGATCTGGATTATGCATACAGTATCTTGCTTAGGAGAAGAAGTCTGCAAGCACTTGAGACATAAAACATCTCACTACCTTCAGTCAAGGATGGGTGATGTGCCCCTCGGGTTCCAGGAGCACCAACTCTCATGGCCAGGGATAATGGCAGACAGAATTTACAGCATAGTAAATTGTACAGCATTGACCTTAGTGTTTGGTGACAGGTCTAGCTGCTTCAGGTCTGCCCTCCAGGTCCAATGGCCAGCTCCCAGGTAAGTTATACAAGGAGGTTCCATAGCTCAGCACTTTAAGTGCAAAAAGAGCATGGCCATCCATGCCTCATTATTTCTTGGATCAACTACTGCAGTGTGCTGCCTTTGAAGGCAACTCCGAAGGTGCAGTTGGTTCAATATGAAGCAGCCTACCTACAACACTGCCAGTGTCATATAACACCAATTTTGTGGGCACTGCACCGGCTTCCAGTAGGCTTCCAAATACAATTAAAAGTGCTAGTTGTAAACTATGAATCCCTTGGCATCTAGATATCTACAGGACTGAATGATTCAGGTAGAACCAATCCAATTCATTTGGCCCTGAGGAGCATGTTGATAGTTCTTCCCCAATAAGACCAGAGGAGGGGGAGCTAGACTACAGGTAGTCCTCAGGTTATGATGGGAGTTGGGACTGGGATTGCTATTGCTAAGCGATGTCGTAAAATGCAACATGACATGACCACATTGCTTAGCGACGGCAATCCCAGCAGTCCCAGTTGCTGTCGTACCCCAAGGCATGTGGATTGTTAAGCAGAAAGCGGCACAGAGTCCCAGGCAAGTGTGCGGGGTGCCATGGGGGGTGGGGGATGTCAGGGGAGGTCCTGGGAGGCCCAGGAGAGGCCAGGAAGGGCTTGGGAAGGCCAGCGGAGACTGCGTGTGGGCAGGAGGGCTACTGAGAGCGGAGGCGACTTACCAGAGTGACTTGTGACTTTCCCTGCTGACTTCCCCACTGACTTTGCCTGTGGGAAGCTGGCAGGGAAGGTCACAAATGGAGATCACATGACCATGGCTCCTGCGACATTGTAATTTCGAGCCGGGAACCCAAGCCCCCAGATCACAATCACATGACTGTAGGGGTGCTGCAATGTCTGGAACTTCAGGGACCAGTTGTACATCCATTTTTTCAGTGCTGCTATAACTTTGAATGGTCACTAAATGAATGGCCGTAAGCTGAGGACTACCTGTATGTTGTTTATCAGGAGACCTGGATGGCAACTTGCCTTACAGTTTCCTGGAGGGCAGTGAAAACTCTTCCATAGAGCTTTTGACACAGTGTCCTTGAGGTGGGGTGGGGGGCTGTTTTATGATGTTATAATTTTATATGGCTATAAATGGCAGAGTCTTTACAAACTCAGCAGTATAAAACTATTGCAAACAAATAAATACATAAATAACTGCAGACAATGCTGAGTGAGATTTGTCAACACTCAGACTTTTAATGCAATATATTACTATGAGAAACCTTTCAGTACCATGAAAGGGAAATAAATTGGAAGTTATTGGATTTGTTATCACTGTATTTTTACTGCTGGAAAGAATGCAAGTATTTGTTTGTTTTCCTTCTTTGGGTGCCAAAATAAATACATTGGCTTTAGGTACTCTGAATAGACAAGTATGGGATTGTATAGCTGGTGATTCAAATTATAAAAATATTGATTATTCTGTAACTGATTATCAGAATGGTAAATTTCTTCTCAATTTTTGAAAGCTCAGAGTATCTTTTCTATTCTTGCCACTAGGTGATCCCCTTTTACACAGGAAAATCCAAACTCGTATGTGTGCTTTTAAAAAAAACAAAAAACAAAGGTCTTTCAGAATTTTTAAACATTTGGATTTTTAAATATTTGGCATCCTATATAGCCCCACCTTGTTTATTATTGTATTAGGCTTGTCAGCAGACATATCTATTAGAAATGGAGGGATAAATATATGAACTGGTACTCTCCCAATGCAGTGGAAAGACCAAATAATATTGCTTTGTATGGTCAAGGATTAGAGTTTTAGTTAAAAAAAAAAGAAAAAAGGCTACATTATATTTTTTTAACGTGTAATATGATATATTTGTTTGGTTTTTCTCTTTCTTTCTCTCAGATGATACAGATAATTAAATTTACCTTTAATATAGGTAATCTCTGTCTTGAAACTTCTTACCTCATTGACTGTTGGGTTCCCAAGGAAGTGTAACAGAAAATTGTATTTATTAAGAATTAATTGCATGTGCATATCATTACATATGGCACAGATAAGGAGGTGATCTGTATCCTGCAAGCTGCACGTGTCCCTCTCTTTGTGCCAACGGACACCTGGGCGTCCTACCCATTTTCTGCATTGCTTGGCTGGCCATCTGCTGTTGATGGGGCAGGGGGAGGGGGACCGACTGGAACTGTCCACCGAACAGGGTTAGAGAGAGAGAATGGGGCAAGGCATCCCTCTTTCCCAATGATCCTGCCATTAGCAGATAAACCGCAATCTATTGTAGGATTGCTGTGAAGGAAGCGGTTAATACTCCTCCTTGGTCCCCATGACCCTGTGGTGAATGTGTGTGTTGTCTGCTATGTTTTTGTGCGTGAGTAGCCATAGGTGTGATCTGTGGTCATGGATACTGTATGTGCAAACCCCTGAAAATATGGCCTCTGATACTTGGCAGCAAATGTGATCCTCAGAACCAAAAGATTGTAAAAAAACAGCAAAGGGGGAGTACACTTTGCTTGTTATATTTACGCTTGTTGTAATTAAAGACTGAGGCCTCTTTTATGATGGATTAAAGTAGATACAAATTGAATTGTAAATGATGCACTTCAAACAAATACAAACTGAGAAAGTGAGGTTAGCAAGAAAACGTTATGATCAATGTGTGAACACAAATCAGTATTCTAATTCTACCCTCTTAATTGGCAAAATATTTAATTTTGAATTAAAGAAAGAACCAATCAGTTACAAGAAAAATACATCATTAAAGTTGAAGCCACTGCTGTGTTTCTGTCTCAATCATCTTAGAGCAAATATCACCAACTTAGGTACGTTAGGTGTGTGGATTTTCACTCCCAATTTCCCAACCAACAGGGCCATTGTAGAGAATTCTGGAAGTTGATTGGAGAAGGCTGCCTAATATTAATATTAGAAAACCACTCATAGGCTTAATACCACTAGAATTAGAAAGGGCTCTGACTGATGAAGTTTAAGCAATCCATTGGCACTGATACTGACTGTGCTACAATTTAGCCAGGTTCCCCACTTAACTAGAATCTTAAGTTTTAAAGCCTACTCACTTTGGGATTGTTTATCAGTGAAAAGTAAGTTAGACATTTTGTAGATAAGTAATAGATTTAGTTAGCCACAACTGCGATTAATATTGTTGCTGATTTATGCCACAGTCACTACTGAAAGAATGAACCATGAAGAAACCTGGGATTCTGCCGATAGCTTCCAATGATTTAACCATAATTAAGAGTTCAGTTCCTTTATGTGTGCACACTTAACACTATCCTGACATGATAATGCTTGGACTCCGTGTATGCGGAAAGGTGGTTAAAAAGGGAATGTAGTACAG